ACAGACATTTTTCTATAAAATAATAATAATAAAAACATCAAACCTTTGAGCAATTTATCTAGCCTCATATTCTGAGCACACATGTAAGTAGTTGTGAAACAGCAAATTGCCCCCTCCCTAACTTTTATAAATTAATAGGAAGCATTTATCATGTATCACATGCACTATGACTGTAAATAATGCTATATGTTCTGGTTTGTCTGGGAGCATTGGATGATATTGAATATCGGAATACACATTATCATCAGATGGCCACATAGACAAACTAGAATTTTTACAAACTTACATACTGTTCGATTCCAATCTATATTTGATCCGAACTCATAAAATTAATAGTAAAAAAACAAACAAAAAACAAAATATAATCCAGAGTGCTTTATCTACTGAAAATATTAAATGTAATCTATAACCTTGTTAAAATGTCAAGAAAGATTTATTTCTCAAAATGCATTTTAAACTTAGGTATTGTTTTTTGGGAGGTGCCTTATACCCCCACCAAAAGACAAAAAAACAAAATATAATCCAAAGTGCTTTATCTATTGAAAATATTAAATGTAATCTATAACCTTGTTAAAATGTCCAGAAAGATTTATTTCTCAAAATGCATTTTAAACTTAGGTATTGTTTTTTGGGAGGTGCCTTATACCCCCCACCAAAAAAAAATAAAAATAAAAAAAAATAAACGTGTCTCAAAAGGACAGTTATTCCTTTGATACCACTATTATTGTATACACTTTTGACTCTCTTGGCAAGGTTTATTTGAAAGATTATAAAAATATGAGAACCAAGTACAATGTGATATTTACATATTATATATAAAGAAAGAAATTTGAAATATTTTTATTCAAAATATTACAAAATTATTAAAATATGTAAACTAACTACAATGCAATGCAATTTGCCATTCTATAAACTCTGAAAACAAGTTTTTTTTTATTCACTCTAATAAATAGCATTTAACATCTTTGTTGTCATTTCTCAATAATAAAGAAAATGTATAAATCCATTTTCATGTTCAGGTTTTATTAAAATTCTAATCATCACTTTTTATAAAACGGAGTCAAAAATGTATAAATAGTGGTGTGAAGGGAATAACTGTCATTTTGACATCATTTTTTTTCTTCAGGTACAAAGGTTAAACATTACTAAAAGATTATTTCTGGTTGCAAATTCTAAAATATCAATGAAATAATTTTTTCAAAAAAGTTTAGAAAAATAAAAATTGCGACGGAAATGCAATAAATTTAGGTACCTCCACAGAAATGTGACACCTAAGATTTAAAATGAATTTTTAACATTTAACATTCTGCATCATTTATAAATATTATTCCTGTATACAGAATCCCCTCAAAATACAGTGTTTTATATATTAGTTCTATATATTTGAAATTGCAGTAACCTGACTCTCTGTCAAGATTATTTTAGGTATTGCCATAGAAGGATATGACTACACAACCAAGAAATTCAACTTGCATTGGCAGGACAAACGTGAAAGTTTCATTAAATCTGACAATTATTTGGTTTTAGCAATTTTTTCCATCGTGGTATGCTCATTTTGTAGCGAATCTGTAGCAGTACCTAAATAAATTATTTCAATCAACGATAGTTGAAAAATTAAAATTTTTGAAATACAGTGTAACCTGGATATAAGAGAGATTTTGTCTGGTCCCAAATTAGAGCCTGTGTTAATGTATATAAAATAGACCCGGATATAAGAGAAACCCGGATATAAGAGAGATTTTCTCTGGTCCCATCCTCCCCGATATAAGAGAGTTCGTTTTGAGTGACAGTGTGATGTCGTAAATCGGTCAAACAGAGGTCAGTTAGAGAGAGAGTGAAGTTCAATGACTTAATCTTGACTAGTCTAGAGACACGGTGTGTCCAATCTGTGTCTGTAGGAGACACCCTCTACCTTATGATTTTGCTTTTGTGTCTAAGGGTAAGCGCCGCTTTTTTTGCCGACTTTGCTTGTCGTTGCATTTACTGGACAGCACTTTCACTTTACCCACTATTCTGTTGAGTCAGAAGTTTGTCTGTTTGTTAATTTTGCCACTGAAAACTGTTTGCTTGCGATCATTGCGATTAGTGATGTTGGCGTCTCAACAAAAAACTCTGACCATTTCTGAACAGTTGGAGCTCATCGACGATGTCAAAGTGAAGAAACTCAAACTGGCCGCTGCAGCCAAAAAGTACGGAATCGGTTATTCAACAGCAGCAAAAATTCTCAAGAAAGAAGAGGATCTGAGATATTGCATGCATTTAAACGGAAATACTAATCGCAAACGAAAGCGCCAATCCGTGCACAAGGACGTTAATGAAGCGCTTACACAATGGTTTACGCAAGCATGTGCTCATGGAGCTACCATCACCGATCACGTCATCAGGCAGAAAGCATCACAACTGGCCGTAAATCTTGAAGTTGATTTTGAACCGAGCAATGGCTGGCTCATGCGCTGGAAGCAGGCCAATAACGTCTTGTTCAAAAAATTTCATGGCAAATCAACGTCAGCAGGTCACAGTTCTGCCAATGAATGGGTGACAAATGTTTTGCCTCAACTTTTTTGTGGATATGATCCAAAAGATGTTTGGAACTGTGATGAAACGGGAATTTTCTACAAAGCCATGCCGTCTGGATCTTTGCAATTTGTCGGCGACGAACAGTCAAATGGGACAAAAGTTCCCAAAGACAGACTCACGATGCTTCAGTTCACAAACATGGACAGCATTGAAAAGAAAGCTGTAGTTGTTGGTAAGTCACAAAACCATGCTGCTTTAAAAATGTTAAAACTCTGCCGTTTTCTTACTTCGCTAATCGTAAAGCCTGGATGACTAGTCAGCTGTTTACTGACATTATGAAAATGCTTGATCGAAAAATGATTGCTCAAAATCGAAAGATTATTCTGTTTTTGGACAATGCAACTTGTCATAACTTACTGTCGGGTACAAATCTGTCAAACATCAAATTGTCGTTCATGCCACCAAACACCACCAGTCTCATTCAACCTTTGGATCACGGCATCATTCGTTCATTCAAAGCGTATTATCGTCGGGAACTTGTTCGAATGCAAATCGCAGTGATCGATGCTACACCGCCAGTGCCGCTGTCCGAGGTGGCCAAGCCAATAACTGTTTTGAAAGCCATGCACATGACGAAGCGAGCACTTTTCATGGTCAAACCATCAACAATTCAAAATTGTTTTAAAAAGGCTGGCTTTGTCATTGAATCACAGGCCGAAGTGAAAGAAAATACTCGACGAAGATATGCATTTATATAACATATATATTGTACAGAATGTTATGGAGAACTGACTGATACGGACATCACATGTGGTATAAAATCGGATGATCAAGATTTTGACGAAGATGATGATGCTGAAAGCGTAAGTTCTGAAGTTTCTGAAAGTGACAAAGCAGTGCCAAATTCTCTGGCTGCATTGAATGCACTTGAAACTCTGGCAGCCTACTTTGAAGCAAAAAGCAGTAATCCTGATGGCGCATTGAAAATGATTTACGGACTGTATGAAAGTGTTCATGATGTTAACAAAGAGATTTCTGTACAATCAAAAATGACTGACTTTTTTAAGAAAAAAGTAATTTTTGATTGAATTATTTTGAAAACTGATTGAAAATGTATTTTTGTCTGTGTTTTTTATGTCTATAACTGTTAAATAAACTAGTGTTCTGTACGTAAAAAGCGTTATATGAAGTGTTCCCATACTTACCTAAACAAAATAGACCAAACCCGGATATAAGAGAAACCCGGATATAAGAGACTTCTTCTCCGGTCCCGACAACTCTCTTATATCCGGGTTACACTGTAGCTTTATTTTCATTCTAAGCTATTTTTGTTTTAAATTTATCATGCACGCCTGTTTTTACGGATTTTTTTAAAAAAAAATTTAACCATTTTTTTAAAATTTATTTTATTTTTGCCTTACAGAAAGATCCTAATTTGCTGCCAATAAAATCACAGAAGCAGGAAAATATTCTTGAAGGAATTTTTCTGAGAATATATTTCAATCGCTACCTTTCATATTAAAAAGAGAAGATTAAGTCCGACCATTTAATTTATGTTCGTGTTATAAACTCGAGCTGTGCTGAAAAGTTCGCGGCCCAGCAAAAACGAAGTCAAAAAAACAAATACGTAAAAAACAAATCTGCTACTTGTTTCAGATCTGTCTTCTTAATTATTGTTCTTTTTAATTTTGTTATCTCATAAGTCAATTAATAATATAATCTTCTTTCCACCCCACATATTCTCTACACTAAAAATGTAAACTAAACAAACACCTTCTTGCGTCTTAGTGGTTCTATTACCTTGCTTGGGTGAAATGATTAAAAAGAAAAGTGGATTGAGCTGAAAATATTCCAGCACGACTCTGAAAGGCTTCTTCTTGGTCACAAAGGTTGAATTCATGAGAAAAGTACGTGTTTTGCATATGAAACCGTAAAAAAAATTGTAACAAGATCAAGTAAGAAGACAATTAGTCTTGGACGTTAAACAAAACGTAACAGTTTTCTTTGTGTAAAAAGCGATGAACTAATTTTTAAATAAGTGCAATAAGGTGAAGGTATAGCAATTTTCTTTTTTATCAGTAAAACATAGTAAATTAAACTTTTATATTTTTTGTGAGCAGATCATTTTTTTTTTTACCATCAAGGGCATACATTGTAAATTGTAATAGGGCTTCATAGGTGCAATAAATAAATGTAATAAGTAGTAATCAAAAAATTTTAATAGTCTCTAATGAATGTCATTTTAGAAACATAAGAAGACCTTTTGAAGAGATAAAAAAAACTGCTTCATCATTTCGTAACGTAGCAGTCTTACTCTTGTGAAACTGAGACAATATCCATCGCAAACAGTGAAGATGAGACTCTCTTTAAAAAAACGATTATTTTTATACTGAACGAGCCACCACTTTACCTAATACTGTACTGACAACAACCCCGAACCTTTGCCCTACAGCAAAAAAAAAACACTGAATTCCCATACTTACGAATGCTGAGGCGATGAAAATCGCACAAATTAAAACCATACAAACACCAAACATGTTTACTCCGACGGGCGCAGCCATTTTTACATTCCCAACCAGTCGTTGAATCAACGAATGAGATCCTCTGTTTCAATCGGCCGCTCGATTTTTCAGCCAATCACCACTGTTGTTTTTTAAACAGCATGAAATTTGTTTCCCCCCCACTTCCATCTCTTTCTCCTTCTTTTCTATTGAGAAAGTAATTCCGAATTTTTCCCGCACTATGGCGACCGCTACAAGAGTTGTTCTGGGTTCAGTCTGAATTATTTATCTTAATGTATTAATATATTCTTTTCTCCAATTAATTTTATTTAAAGTAGAGAGAAGAAACAAATCTAAAAGGAAAAAAAGTGTTTTATGGTGATCTTTTTTAAATATGATTTCATTTTACCTTTTCAGCTAGTTTTTAGTTTAAAAACTCCTCAACTCCGTCTTAAAAAAAAATAATACAGCCTTTTCGTTTCCCTTTTTTTGGTCTTAAAAAAAGAAAACATGGATATAGACTTGACTGGGGAAACTAGTGACTATATGTTTTATTCGATGCTGTATTCCAGTGTTACTATCGTTTTTGCAATGGCAGTATTAACTAAGTTCCTTACAAATGAAATCAAATTCGGATTTCGATCGTTTCTCTCATTAGTAACTTTATTCCTTGGAGAGCCCTTATGTCAATTCTTAGTTAAAGGACCCCATGGAGTGGGTACCTTTACTTTGGCTTGTTTTCTTGTCTATTGGATTTTACCAGCAAGCCAGTACTCCGCCAAAGATAAAATAGTCCTCGTCACGGGTTCGTATATCCTTCTTCTTATTAAAAATTAATTACTTAAATGTGAATAAAATTAAAATTGCTTCTAATTGCTGTATTTATTTTTTATGACGTACGTGTTTAAATTTAAATAATGAGGACAAATTTAAAAAAAAAAAAAAACTTTTTTACCTAGTTTTCTGAATGGATTTTTTTTCAGCAGCAGCATGTCTCCATTTGATTTGGTAGATTGGCGCAGCATGATCTTACCTCTCGATCATTCAATTAATTTGAAAAACACGATTTCACAACCTAATGATTCATTCATTAACACATGGCCTAACAACTCTTAGTGATTGTCATTAATTAAATTATTTGAATATTTTTAGCTGTTTAACTTTGTACGGAATTTTAAGTTTTTTTAAATATTTTTAAAAACAGAACATGGATTAATTAAACAAAAAGTGATGTTAAAACTTCAAAAAATATGTATTCGCAAGTTTTAGTCCTTATCTGAAAAACACACTCTCTAAAATCTAGTCTAATCCGTAATAATCCTAAATCTAGAAATCTCGATTGCTATATCACCTCTCCTCATCCACAACTTGTTTATTTCTTATAAATTAAAAACTGGGGGATCAATTTTGTGTTGGTACATAAACAAAACCGATCCCCCACTTTTTAATTTTTTTTTTTTGATAAACAAGCAAATCACGTTATTGACGTCGTGTAAATTAATTAATATCTGAACTAAGTACTTTTTGTTTTTACTTCTCATCTAGTAAAGACTAAAAAGCGGATCAAAGTGAAAGACAGTTATTTTTAATTTTAGTCTCTAAATTAAATATTAAAAAAAAAAAAATTTATTAAACCCGCCTCATTTTTGTACACTCTGAGTAAAGTTTCGATTAAAAAAAATAACTGCAAAAATTAAAGAAATACTAGTTAATTATATTTCTTTCTTTTAAAAAAAAAAAAAACTTTATAAAATTTAGAAAATGCTCTGTTCCCACAATAGTAGATAAAAACTTTTCTAACTGCGAGAAATCAAGTAAAAAAAAAAAACGTGCATTATTTTGGGGACAGAAGTGTGTTCAATTCATCAATATTGCTTTTTTTTAACATTTAAAAAAAAAAGTTCAAGTAACATTTATTTATTGATTAAAAAATAATCATATCAAGAGTCTCGTCGAATTTGCTTCTTTTTTAAAAAAAAAAAAAAAAAAAAAAAATCCCGACCCTGAAGGTTACAAGGTGAGTTTGGGTTTGGGATATTGACCTATTGTTAGTTTAAGGACTTTTAAGGGTAATCAGGTCCGATTCAGGCCGACGGGTTTGTAAGAGCCGGCAAAAAGACGTTTGATTGTTGGAAATAGTTTTCGTCACTTGAATGCTGTTGTCTCGTACAGTTCCGGGTCATTTGTGGGCAGGAGCATCATTTATTTTCGCCTTTCTTTCCCTTTTCTCTCCCCCCCCCCGGGGGGATTCCACTTGTTTTACAATAATAACGTGTACGCGACGTGGAGGAGGTAGACTTAAATTGAAAACAACAAAGGTCACAATTTCTTTATATAAATATTTACGATTTTCCCCTTAAATTCAACAATACATTTCACTTTTTTTCTATTATTTTATGGCCCATATTGCTAACATTGTCAAATATATTCTCAACATGATTCCCCCTTCCCATCCATAGTAATTTAATAAACCGAATGACTGTTTAAATTTAAATTTTTAAAAATTAATTCTATATTTTTTAAAGGAATTTTGGTGCTTTTAAAAGATCTCGCGGCTATCAAAAATTCAAATAAAAAAAAATCGAAAATTCCAATATAATTTCGATAAATATTGAAAATTCGGTAGATGAAATTTTATGTTTCATGTTCTTTCAAGACGTGGGCGATCATGGCTCTCCATAACTTCCTGTTTATATTGATCACTAAGTAACTTTTGTTTCGTCTTTCTTTATCAAACCCTGTCTTTTCTTTTCTTTTTTCTTTTCCATTCACTCAAACTAGTCAAATAAGTTACTTTTTCTGTTTTTATTTGATTTACCTCTGCTATGTCTCTTGTGAGTATTATATCTCCCCAGCCGTCTTTCCTCATGACGTATTGTATTCCAGAAATAAATTTCAGCTGTCTCTTTCGTTTTGTAAGTAGGTATCCGTTCCTTGTAGTTCGTATTTGGAACATGAGGAGTTAACTTTTGTATTCATGGATCTTCTTAATCTTGACATTGTCAAACAAAACCAAATCTGAATAAAATGGGAAAGAGAAGATATTTTTTCAAGTGGGGGAGGCTTTGAAAATCAGTATTTGACAGGTTGGCCTTTATCTGGGCTTGACCACTGATCTTTGTTATAATTTCTGTAACCATTTCACTTTCAGCAAGGTGATACTTAAAACATATATTGTATCTGTTTACAAAGAAAAATTAAAATTCAACATACTTGAAAATAGCAACAAAAAAATTTGTAATTTCTTAAAAAAATTTTCACTTTTATTTCTTTGTTAGATAATAAATCTTTAATAGGTAAGTAATTTTGTATAATATTAGAAATAAACATTGCTGAGGGAGTGAACATAGTTGACATAACTGTCAATGGAAAAACCATCCTTTTGTTAAAACTTTTTTATGAAAGCACAAAAGTCTGTTAACAAAAAAATTCTTCCTAAAAAAAATAAATTTCATAGTCAATATGTTCATTGTTATTGTTATTATTAATTTTATGTGACAAAGTTCTTAACATTTTTAGTAAGTTTTGTAGTTTAAAATATTTCAGCTATAAAAAAAAATGCAGTTTTCTTCACTTACATTTTTTGGAATATTTTTGAAGAACAGTTGTAAGATATTAAATCTACTGAATTTATTTATGAAATAAACTTTTTGTGATATAGCGCTTAATAAATAGCATTTTTAATTAATATAGCAGTGTGAAATGTTACAAAAGATGCTAGAATTTAAAATTAATATATTTTTAAATGTCTGTTAGAAAAAAAAACACATTATTCGTAAGAAAATTAAATTTTTATATTCAATATGTTCATTGTTTCTGTCTGAATTTCCAGCATGTTGAGCATCTTAGATAAGACAATAAACTACATTTTACAGCAAAGGCTGCTGATCAGGATGTTTTGAGGAGCATGGCACCATCTCTTAATTGTTGGTGTTCCCAGGTCCACCCTGATCTGGAGTGGTAGCACCTGTTGGGGTCCCAGCTATGGGCAAATAGTTAACCCCCAAACTGGGGTCAAAACACTATGAAAGTGTAAAAATAGGTTTTAATACCAGCAATGAATTTTTGAAGAAAAAATTATTACCAGCAATACATTTTTTGAGAAAAAAAATATCAGCAATAAAAATCTTGTTGGCATTAAATAACCCATAGAGGTTCATATGCTGCTGTCAACCAAACCAAACTAGGATGTTGAGCTATCATTTACACTTTTTATATTTGTGCTATTATCCTTATCTTTGTTGTTATTGCTGTGTTTTGGCCATTGTACCTTCCAGCCTTCCTAAGGTATATATCAAGTTGGATAACCTACAGGGAATTTTGAACTGAACCTCTTATTTAATCTGCGGGGATATACTTCTTTTTTCACTGCTCATGTTTAGGGATAATTTGTCCAGTTCTTATTTTTATTTAGCACTGTTCAGTTATTGAGCGTCCATTTCCACTGAGAACAGGTACACACTGTCCAACCTAGCGACAATGGCCTAGTGGATTAAAGCGCTGGGTTATGAATTTGGTGACATGAATTAAGTTCAATTCTTGGCTTGGGCAGTGCATACTTGTACTCACAATATCCTTAAATGTGTGTAGTGGAACTAGAACAGTGTTTCCCCATTGATTAAATAAAGGATTCAGAATTCCCTGTAGTTTACCCAGAAGACTTGAGGACACAATGGCTGGAACATTGTAATAACAATAAAGATGAGGATAATAGTTCGATTATAATTAGTGTAAATAATATTCATTGTTATGAAGAATAATATGCAGAAAAAAAATTGTGATTAAGTTCTTGACATATGATATTACATGATATATGATATGACATTATATGATATTATTCTTTTGTTATGAAGAATAGTAATATGCAGAAAAAAATTTGTGATAAAGTTCTTGACAATTGTTTATTAATTTGAAATCAAGAGTTGTTTTGTTTTTTTTATAACAAAGTTAAAGTTTTAATAAAGTTAAAATACTGAAAAGTCAGAGAAAATGAAGCAAACGAAGCTTATAGTCATTGTTTTAAAGAGTAAGTTAAAAGTAAAAAAAAAAGTTTCTTTTTA